AATGATATATATATATATATATATATATATATATATATATTGCAGTGCCAGTCCACTGAATTACATGCTGCCCTGACAATGGGCACTACCTCACCCACGTGCATGGAGAACCTGGCTGAGCTCAGTTTCACCTTTCGTGAAGTACACTGAGGAATTGCCTGGTGAGTAGTGGTGAATGTTTACATTGCATAACCAGGCATCCCACAAGAGGTTCTCAGCCTCTCTGCCATTCTGCCAATACTGAGCACATGAGTTGCAAGATGGACTAGAAGCCCGCTCCGCTATCTATCTGATGTAGCATTTGAATATACCCTGGACATTTCATCGTTCACTCAGAACACTAGCCAAAGTGTGCTGCTTTACGCAGTCTGTTGCTCAGATAACCCGAGTCAGGTTTGTTGCAGGGCCTGGGGACGAATGAGAATGCGCATTGCCAGAATGCCTTGCCCCCGCACGGTCATCAGCCAATTCCTTTCCTCGATACAGTTATACAGCCCTCCTCTCTTGGGAAAGTAAGGATGGCAATTTTGTCGCCTCCTAGCAGGCAGGCAAAACTTTTGAAACGGTCTTTGAAAAGCATTTTTACCATCTTAAAAATTTAAAATTCCTGTGCTATTGAAGTTTTAATCCGCTGTCTGTTTATGTGTGCAGGCTTCTTCAGACCAGAGCAACACTGAGGTTAGGCGCATGCTTTATGGAACCAGCAGGGAAGGAGTTAGCGCCTGGTGCCTGGGATGGCATTTCCTTTCCAAACACCACTGACATGCCTGGCATCTAACATGGGCAGCCTTCCCCTTTCTTCCGCGTGTGGTTTCCCAGCTTTTCTTTCTGGGCCTCCAAGGCCTCAGCTCAGCAAGAGGTCAAGAAAGGGCTGCTGTTCCCTTGGTGCTAATAGTCTGAGTGCCCCACAAGGAGGAAGCCCCCTCCCCCCCTAAGCGCTGAGGAAGGGCCACATCGAGCCCAAAGTCAACGCGGTGCGAATCCCTCCCTGCACTTTGGCAGATGCTGCCTTACTGCTCACCCTCATTTGAACCAGAGGTTGAAGACGTGCCCTGGGGACGGGTTGCAGAGGAGCGAGGGGGGTGTTTGTTGAAAACACTGATATTCCCAAGCACACAGACTGAGCAAAAGGTCTTGAGCCATTATGTATTATGAGGACAAAATGAGGCCCAAGACTGCTGACATCTGCACAAACTAAATGCTAAAGTATCTTTTGAGGGAGGCCATGAAAGTGATCCACTTCCCAAACAGGAGTGAGCTGACCAAGACATAATATGATGATGAATATTATGATTTATGTGTAAATCCCTAAAGGATGCTTACTTTATGAACCCTGGAGCCACATCCACTTCCTGGCCTGAAGTCCAGCCCATTGAGAGAATTCTCTCCACATTTCACCCAGTTTTCCATAGTCTGCAAAAGGGTTTCACCCAGAAAAGATCAGCTGCTGCCCACTGGGTTGGAGAATCATCAAATGCTTCACAGCCTGGAAAATGCTATTGACACAAAATGCTCTTGATCCTACCAGGGCGAGAACTGCAGCGATCACAGCAGGCAGTCTGCAAAGAGAGGAATGATTCTCTGGCCAAAGATCCTGCACTCCTGCGCCTACCTCTCAAGACTGCTGAGCCGCATAAACAGATGGGGAATTTAACTCAACACTTGGCGCTAGTCGGATTGCAGGTCTGTAACGTGCGGGGCCTGGGGGGAGGGGGCGGGTTGTACAAGATATATTTGAACTCTCTCCCTTCAAGCCACTCCTCACAGGTGCCTGCACGCCTTCTGTTAGAGTGCAGTTTACACCAACAGTTCTTGGAAGCATTCCGGTATAAATCCCGTTGTGCCCCAAGTATCAGTGGAGCAGCTATGCTTGTATTTGCAGAACATAGATTACGGTATGGTAAGGTAGCAGTTGTAGAGATTTCTCCCAGGCTTTGGGGATACGATAACTGTGGAGACTTCCTTTTGTTTTGTCGCTCTGATTTGTTCTGATTTGTTCGTATTTTGCTCTTCCAGCCAGTTTGTATTTCGGCTTTTTAGCTGTAAGCTGCCCAGAGTCATCTGGGAGTCAGGCAATCTATAAATAAATAAATACATACATACATACATAAATCAATAACATTTAACCAAAAACAAGAGCAATAGAATAAAGGACATTGGTTTTCAGTCTGTTCTAAGAGCCTGCAATAATGAAGTGGTGTCATTTTAACACCAGACTTAAAAACGTTAACCTACCTGCTCTCCTTTATATGGCAACGTTTATTCCTTCCCTTAATCCAACATGTGGAAAGGCTGCTTCACTCCATTTCCGGCAGGCCTCCATCTGCCATATCTGGGCTACAAAAGTCCTGGGGAGTGCGAGATGGCAGCACTGCCATCTAAGGTTGTCCAGATATACAGTACCAGTCCTGAGTGAGATCCTACCACGATAGCACCACTCCTAAGTCTCTTTCATACCATCACGGAGCCCAAGCGTTGGAAAGGACCTTGGCGGTCTTCTGGTCCAACCCCTGCCCAGTCCCCAGACCCTCCCAGACAGCCTGGGCTTGAAGGCCTCCCGGGACGGAGCCCCGCGGCTCCAGGAGGCAGGCCGTCCCGCTGCTTCGCAGCTCCTAACGTGGCATTTGGATCTTTCCCTGTAACGCTCCCACCACCGGTTCTTGCCTTACTCTCAGGTGCTCGGGAGAATAAATCCCTCTCTTTTGCCCATTGATAGCAGCCTTCCAATCAATACGCCCTCTCGGCCGGGTTTGACGTTTGCCCTTTTGGACGACGGTACGAGGAGGGAGAAGATTCCCCCCTCCCAAGTCAGCCTCTGCAAGAGGGGGAGGGCTCCCTGCAGGGCTGCGAGTGGCAAAAGGGGCGCGTGGCACGGGGGAGAGGGCGGCTCTGCGACCTGGACCGGGGGAGGTGGCCGGAATCCCCCTGCAGGGAACCTCCGGGACATCCCGGCCAGGGCCTTGCCGGGCCGACTCCCTCCTCTTCCAGCTGAATCCGCAGCTGCGCCCCTTTGGGTGCTGGGCGAGCGAGGGGATGGGCAGCGGCTTGCCGTCTGGGCAGCCCTCCCTGGGCAAGAGCGTGCAAGGCCGGGCAGGCGCTCCCAAGCCA